CCCCAAAAATACATAAATAAACAAATCCCCGTGTACACTTAAGTGCTGCCCTGGGCTCGTTACGCAGATGAAAAGACAAGACTCACCAGATTAGGTTCTTTTTGGTCTTGTGTGGCAAAAGGATTCCTTCCGTGCGTGGACGAGCGCGCTCTCCCTTGTCTCCAAAAAGGAACAGAGGCTGGTGATCCAGGTCGGCCAAACAAAGCCGCTCGTCCCGCCGAAAGTATCCCATGCCAAGACATGTCAGCAACGCCAAATTGTTATAGAATTATATACCCCATGAAGGAGAAAACTCAAAGGTCCTTTGTCTGATCAAAAGCGTAAGTTTATTGTTCACGCACGTGCGGAGGGCCAGCACATCCACTCAAAAGCAGCATGTCCCAGCTCTGGGGGCCAGAGCCCCCAGCTTCCTGTATGCAAGACACACACCAAAGATAGTCACGCCCACAACGGAGCGGAGGGGGCCACCGGTGAGGAGGCGCACAGGAAGCGCCGGCGCCATCCCCTGTGGTGGCAGTGGCATGGGGTGTGAACAGACAGACAATGGTGGAAATGCAGGTCATACAGATGCAAGACGGAAAGACACAAGGGTGTGACAGACAGCAGGGACCTTCACAAAGCTCAGCATGGCGTCAGAAGGTCGTCTGCATTGATAAAAGGCCTTTGACGTCCGTGTATTTGCTGCGGCTGGTTTTATGTAATTACTCCAAAAACTGTCACCACATTATCAAAGTACGTAAGACAAAATTACTGAACAGGGATAACTTTATTAATGATGTGATAAATATAAACTGGGATAGACTAGATTTGATACCTAATATAAATGAAGCCTATGACTACTTCTCTACTGAACTTTTGAATGTCATTAATATACATGCTCCGTTGACAGAAATCAGAGTTAAAGGAAACCACCTTCCCTGGGTGAATGGTGATCTGATCAATTTATATAGACAACGGGATAGAGCCTGGTCCAAATATAATTCCTCTAGGTTTGCTGCAGACTGGGAGGAATATAGACGTTTGCGAAATATCTGTACCACTCAGACTAGAAATGCTAGATCTAATTATCATAACAATAATTTAACAAATAATTTTAAAAATCCTAAAAAGTTCTGGAAGCACATCAACCATTTATCAGGTAAAATTAATTCTGAATCTTCTAATATGCTTATTAATGATATTATTACAAATGATCCCGATACTATTGCAAATGCCTTTAATTTACATTTCTCTCATTTGCCTCAGGTCCAACCTCCTCCACTTTCTTCAGTTTCTCTCTGTTATGTTACCCCTGACAGTAGTTTTTCATTTAGACGGGTAAGCCCAGCTGTAGTAGAGCAGATTTTAAATGGGTTATCCCCTTGCAGTGCTGGTCCAGACGGCATCGAGACCAAGTTCATCAAGCTTGCATCTCATGTTCTTTGTTTTCCTTTGGCAGATCTCTTTAATTTATCTTTTCAAACATGTGAAGTTCCCTCCGCCTGGAAATGTGCAAAGGTCATCCCCATCCACAAAGGTGGTGACTCAAATAATATAAATAACTACAGACCCATCTCTATCATCAATAGTATTGTCAAAGTATATGAAAAAAATGTGTTTAATCAACTGTCTCAATATCTATCAACCAATAATCTCCTCTCTCCATTTCAATCTGGATTTAGAAAACATTTTTCAACCACATCTGCATTATTAAAATTCACAAATGATATTTTTTCTGGTTTTGACAATAACCTGCTCACTGGTGCTTTATTTATTGATTTAACAAAAGCTTTTGATATGGTCGATCACTATCTCCTTTTAGACAAACTCCACTCAGTCGGTCTGGACAGGTCCTCACTTCTCTGGTTCAACTCCTACCTTCATCACAGACAGCAATGTGTCTTTTACAAAGGCAGCTATTCCGGTTTCTCTTGTATTGAGAGAGGTGTGCCACAAGGCTCTTCACTTGGGCCACTATTATTTTCCATTTTTATAAATGATCTGCCTCTCACATGCAACGACTGTAATGTACAACTTTACGCTGATGACACAGTAATTTATTGCTCTAAATCAAATATTACTGACATTCAAAATTCTCTTCAAGTTGACTTCAATTCAGTTCAACTCTGGCTACAATCAAACAAACTTTTACTCAATAAATCCAAATCCAATTTTATGTTGTTCCAGAAACGAGTTCGTCCCATTTCTACAAATGAAATTAATCTTCTGTTTTTAGACAAGTCACCACTCCCAATTGTTGATCAGTTTAAATACCTTGGTTTATGGCTTGACACCTCACTCTCCTTTAACAAACACATACAGACAATCTCAAACAAAATTTCATATCGTCTAAAATTACTTTATCATTCAATTAATTGCTTCAGTTTTTCAGTTAGGAAAAGAATTATTTCACAGTGGATCCTTCCTATTCTTGATTACAGTGACATCATTTATCAGAACACTTCAGCCTCCATCCTCCAGCCTCTGAATGTCACATACAACAGCCTGTGCAGGTTCATTCTCCGCTGTCCCTTTAGGACCCACCACTGTCTTCTGTACGAGCAGTTATCGTGGCTCTCTCTGTCCTCCAGACGTCAGCTTCACTGGCTGCTGTTTATTTTTAAATGTATCAATTTAAGTTTTCCAGACTATTTAAAACAATATTTGATTCCTCTGTGATCCACTTACAGTTTGCGCCATGCAAACCAATGTTTCTTTGTTGTCCCAAGAGTTAAGAAAGAAGTAGGAAAACATTCGTTCAAATTTAAAGCTCCTTCCGACTGGAACAGTTTACCTTCATCCATTCGCGCTCTCACTTCTCTGCCTCTGTTTAAGAATGCTTTGGTCCAATACCTCCAGAACCCATGCCAATGTTATTGAGCATATGCACCTACATTATATTCAGTGATATGTTCTACTATGGATACTAGCTGTAATCTCTGTTAATTTATAACAGACGTTATATCAGAAACAATCTGTGTGTGTGTGTGTGTGTGTGTGTGTGTGTGAGAGAGTGTGTTTTTATGTGTCCTTTGTCTTTGTGTTTGTATTATTTTTTATGAATTTTGTTATATTGTTTGCTCTACTGTCTGCCTTACTGCATCTGTCATTTTGTGCAATTTTGAGGACCCCCTCGAAAACGAGATGTTTCATCTCTAGGGGCTTATCCTCCAAATAAATAAATAAAAAAATAAAAATAAAACATATCATGTTTTATGTATTTAAACCGCTAACTAAAAGCAAATGGACCTAAGAAGTGTGTGGGTTTAAAAGAATCCCAAAACCAAGAGTAGAAGGGAGCTAACGTGCTACCTGCTAACTACTGTGCACAGCCCCGAACAAGTTTTCAGTTTTATATAATACATTTTTTTTCATAATATCCTTACTTCAAATGGGAAGCAAGGAAGCTCCGCCCACTTGCAGTTCTATTCTGTTGTGCAACTTTTCTTTAAGGGGAATCATATCGTTAGTGGAGGCTCCAGTTTCATAAAATTGACAAAATAACAGATATTTGCAATCACAGCAGTAGTCGAGGAGATATTTATTATAAATCTTGCATAGCGCTAGATGGGGACTACTGTACTACTACTATAAGTGTCATAACGGTCTCAGCTAAAAAATAAAAATAAATAAAAACACCATTCAAACTTTTTAACTTTATGTTTTGCTAAACTTCATCCCCAAACAAGTTTTCAATCTGTTTAAATCTGTTTGAATGGGCAATTTTACATTTCCGACCACTTTGCAGCCAATGTTGTGCAATTTTTCTTTAAAGGGAATAATTAGAGAATTATAACTTTCAGACGTGCTCTTTATTCATTTGAAAAAGCTGCTTTAAAACTTTGTTAATAAAAAAACATACAAATTAGATGGACACATTTCAATATTTATTTCCTCCTATTCAGATTGAAAAGTCAGATACCCCAGCTTTAAATAAACACACTTTACAGCCTCCCTTGCTATAAATATATATATTAATACCCAGTATAAAAATGCAATGGAACAGTAACACAAGCCAAACAATAACTAATCCACGCACACCTCTGTTTACCTGTGTGTGTGTGTGTGTGTTGTATAAAGTGGCCATAATAAAGTCTTAGCTAACTGGAAGCGCGTGTGAGTGATACGGTAAGCAGAGCCGGGGCCAGGTGCCGTGGGGACTGGCCTCTGTGTCATAACAAAAGCAGCTGTAAACTCCAGGCTGCATGTACACAGGTGCACTTGACTTTGGGGGAATCGTGGTGCGATAACTGCTTTTGCAAACAGCTTTTTATGTGGCCATTACCAAAACAATACATTCAAACAGCTGCACATCTATAAAACTTTTGGAGGATTACAAGGAAGCAATGAATTCATGTTTGTTGTGTGATAAGATAAAAGGATGTTTCAAGAACAGGTTTTTAGAATGAGGCGACAAAAAAAAAAAAACAGCCAAAACTTGTAAATGGTGATTCAAAATGTGTGTATTTGAAAAGTTTTACATAATAGAAAAAACGACTTTGGCAGAAAAAGGCATAATTGTGTGTACTTGTGTGTATAATATGTATTTATTTGTATGCATTTTTTTATTTTCATAACCGATACTGATATTTTATAACTGATACTATATTAAGTATATATTTAGTGGGTTGTAAAAGTGCCAATACAACTTCAACTTAGGTACATTTTATCATGTTTTTGTCTGTGAAGTGAAATCACACACAATTTTGAGTTTTGCTTTTTGTGCTTAAAGAAAATGTGCAACGTGGGGCTACACAAAATGCCCCGAAAAAGGAAGCTTAAAAATTACACAAAAATATAATAATCACAATAACAAGAAAGGCAGAGTCAAATCTGTATGTGCATCTGAACAAAGCTGTTTTTAACCTGGATTTAAACATTGTCAAACCAGTTCAAATGCTCTGCACAATAACATGATGACTACTGATTAAAAAAATCTTCTTGTTAACACACTTCCTGGTACCAGAGTTTGATTATTTTGCTCACAAACACATATGTCATAATCCCCGCCTTCCCATTGGTTACTGTACAGGCACTGTTTCCAAAGCAACTCGGGCATGCCGGCTGGAGGTCCCTCCTCTTTCAGGAAGGAGCAGCGTGTAAACAAAGGCAGCATGTGCAGAGCTGAGCAGGAGCAAAACACAGGGACTGTTTTGAGCTGATCTTTGCTCTCGGGTTTCACTGTCACAAGATGTTTTCTGTTTTTGGGGTTTGCATGTGACTCTCTTCACGCTGTGGATGACAACATGTAAATGATGTGCTCGGTTGGCATAAACACGTATACTGATTTATGGTTTTCATTAACAACGGATGCAATAAAATGTAATGATCTAGACTGGTGCCAGAGAGGGCTGTGTGGCTGCAGGGATTCTTTCTAACCAGGCAGGAGCAGGCCAGACTCTACTCATTTGATCAAGTCTTTAGGTTAAGACTGGGCTCACTTGACGAATTGGAAGTGGAATCTGCACTTCATGGTTGGAATGAAAACCTGCAGCCACATAGCCCCTTCTGCATGCATTTGACACTCTCTGCTCTAGATACAATGAAGAATGTTTTAGCAAAGCAATGGATGAGAAACAGCTTGCAAACAAAGAAATGCAATGCAGAAGAAGTAAAGTGCATGTATCTGACCCACATCAGCGTGTCAGCACTAACATCAATAATTATCATCATAGAGTGCAATTAAGGCCTCCAGTATGATAATATCAAGTTGTGTTGCTGCAGGTGTTTGCAGGTCACTGACCTGTGCACCAGCGTCACTCGCCCTCCCCAACTTTTCTAAAACGTCTGCCCATTGTACAGTGTGCTTTTTTACTGCTGTCCCAGAGGTAACCAAAGTTCAACAGATTTAGAGCTTTGTCCTAGGCCAGTCCAGTGTTGGAACAACCAGGACTCTGTGAACATTTATGTGAAGAATAACAGGGTTATTAAAGAGCAAAACAGCACATAAACATGCATAACATTGATGAAAATACCCTCACACTGGGACACCTATCATGTTGAGCAACGTCCCTCCAGCAGCCAATCACATCTCTGTTACCAACAGCAACAGCGTGTGTTTATGCCTGCCTCTGCGTAATCCTGCACTCTGATTGGCTGTGTGGCGGGGCTGTCCGCTCTACCCACTGCCCCCCCTTGTCTTTTTCCCCTCTGCATGTACCGGGAGATTAAGTAACACTGGCAAAACAAAAAGAGCTTATTTTTGTTTTCCATCAATGGCAGTGCTGGTGTTTGAACAGTGAGTGTGTAGGTGCGTGGAAGAGGCGTTTAATACAGAGAGACTGATTCAGAGATGTGCAGAGGAGGAGGCGGGATGAGGCTGTCCACTGTTGCCATGCGCCCTGACTGTGTTACTGGGTTAACTGTGGTATGTTGCTATGAGAAAAAATGAGCAAGGAAGAGGGGTAATTGCATCACCCCCTTGAGAAGTCCTTCGAAAACAGGTCTCTCTCTCTTTCACACCCTGTGCAGAAATGTTTTTGCCCTTCCCTCGTCTTCCACTGGGAGGGATTTCAATGTTAGATTCAGCAAGTTGAGCTGAGTTTGGCCATGCTTGAAGAAACGTCTGTGTCTTGTGCCTTGTTTACAAGTCGGTCACAGGCAGTTCATATGAAGTGGTGGGACAAAGGGGCTTTCAGCGGCTGCAGTGAAGGTTAGCTTGACCAGTGGCGAAGACTTTGAAAAGAAAAAAATAACAAAAGAAGGAATTAAGTTAATTAAGTTTGCAAAAAGAAAGATAAACACATACTGTCAGCTTTTTCAGATAAGGTTTTAACTTCTCAAGTCTGTTTGTTTTGATGTTTTGGTGTCTGCTCTTGTTTTGTAAAGCACTCATTATGTGTGTATGAAATGTGCCTTACAAATAAAGTTGCCTTGCCTCATCTTTCCATAGATTTAAATGTGCACGATGTGACTTTTAGTTCAGGGGTCCACCAGTTACCGTATGTGGCTAAATTTATACACAGTCTGGCGAATCTTTGTAAATTTCAGTTTGCATTAGACTGGAACTTTTTACAGAAAGCTAATAAGTCTTATGCCACAAAAAAAAAAATATTTTGTTCTGACTCTGGGCACCAGCAGGTGGCCAGTCCCTGTGCTCCTCAGAGTCCGAGCTGGTTCATCCAGCACTAACATGTCACCAATGAACTTTGGTGCAAGGCCATGGAGAGACTTGTACAAAAGGAGAGCTGCTTTAAAGTCTATTCTCTGAGCCACAGGAAGTCAACGCAGAGACCTGAGAACTGGACTAATGTGATTGTACTTCCTGGTTCTAGTCAAAGGTAAAGGTAAAGATAAAGGTGCATTTTATTGATCCCCGTAGGACAATTCATCCTCTGTATTTGACCCATCCTGATGCCGCTAAGGCTCACGTCAGGAACAGTAGTAGTAACAGCGCCCGAGAACCCATCTCCTGCTGGAGGATTCTACCAAGTGTGCATGTTTTTAGTGGTAGGGGAAACAGGAGTACCCGGAGGAAACCTATGCAGGCACGGGGAGAACATGCAAACTCCACTCAGAAAGACCCTGTTACGACCGGGATTCGCACCAGGAGTCAGGACTCAAGCTGTAGCGTATTGAATTAAGATTAGGAGATACTTTATTTGCATCTCCTATATTAGAGACCTACTCCAATTGCTTCAACTCAAGTCTGTCGTTGTGTGAGATACTTAACCCCACATTGCCCCGAAGCCCCCGCTGAAAGACCAAGAAAGCAGCAATCTCCCTGTGGAAGTTACAGAACAGTTGGAATAAGGAGCACACAACACATAACATACAGTGCCTTGCGAAAGTATTTGGCCCCCTTGAACCTTTCAACATTTCGCCACATTTCAGGCTTCAAACATAAAGATATAAACATTCATTTTTTTGTCAAGAATCAACAACAAGTGGGACACAATCGTGAAGTGGAACGAAATTTATTGGATAATTTAAACTTTTTTAACAAACAAAAAACTGAAAAGTGGGGCGTGCAATATTATTCGGCCCCCTTGCGCTAATACTTTGTAGCGCCACCTTTTGCTGCAATTACAGCTGCAAGTCGCTTGGGGTATGTCTCTATCAGTTTTGCACATTGAGAGACTGGAATTCTTTCCCATTCTTCCTTGCAAAACAGCTCGAGCTCAGTGAGGTTGGATGGAGAGCGTTTGTGAACAGCAGTCTTCAGCTCTTTCCACAGATTCTCGATTGAATTCAGGTCTGGACTTTGACTTGGCCATTCTAACACCTGGATACGTCTATTTGTGAACCATTCCATTGTAGATTTGGCTTTATGTTTTGGATCATTGTCCTGTTGGAAGATAAATCTCCGTCCCAGTCTCGGGTCTTTTGCAGACTCCAACAGGTTTTCTCCCAGAATGGTCCTGTATTTGGCTCCATCCATCTTCCCATCAATTTTAGCCATCTTCTCTGTCCCTGCTGAAGAAAAGCAGGCCCAAAGCATGATGCTGCCACCACCATGTTTGACAGTGGGGATGGTGTGTTCAGGGTGATGAGCTGTGTTGCTTTTACGCCAAACATATCGTTTTGCATTGTGGCCAAAAAGTTTGATTTTGGTTTCATCTGACCAGAGCACCTTCTTCCACATGTTTGGTGTGTCTCCCAGGTGGCTTGTGGCAAACTTTAAACCAGACTTTTTATGGATATCTTTGAGAAATGGCATTCTTCTTGCCACTCTTCCATAAAGGCCAGATTTGTGCAGTGCACGACTGATTGTTGTCCTATGAACAGACTCTCCCACCTCAGCTGTAGTTATCTGCAGTTCATCCAGAGTGATCATGGGCCTCTTGGCTGCATCTCTGATCAGTCTTCTCCTTGTTTGAGATGAAAGTTTGGAGGGACGGCCGGGTCTTGGTAGATTTGCAGTGGTCTGATACTCCTTCCATTTCAATATAATTGCTTGCACAGTGCTCCTTGAGATGTTTAAAGCTTGGGAAATCTTTTTGTATCCAAATCCGGCTTTAAACTTCTCCACAACAGTATCTCGGACCTGCCTGGTGTGTTCCTTTGTCTTCATGGTTCTCTCTGCGCTTTAAACAGAACCCTGAGACTATCAAAGAGCAGGTGCATTTATACAGAGACTTGATTACACACAGGTTCATTCTATTTATCATCATCAGTCATTTAGGACAACATTGGATCATTCAAAGATCCTCACTGAACTTCTGGAGTGAGTTTGCTGCACTGAAAGTAAAGGGGCCGAATAATATTGCACGCCCCACTTTTCAGTTTTTTATTTGTTAAAAAAGTTTAAATCATCCAATAAATTTCGTTCCACTTCACGATTGTGTCCCACTTGTTGTTGATTCATGACAAAAAATAAAATTTTTATATCTTTATGTTTGAAGCCTGAAATGTGGCGAAATGTTGAAAGGTTCAAGGGGGCCGAATACTTTCGCAAGGCACTGTATATACATGCTATGATTACACGCTTGGAATTGAGTGCTTGGAAATAAGTAAGTAAGTAATCTTTATTTATATACCGCCTTTCACAGACCAGAGTCACAAAGCCGTTTACAATTGTTATTTTCTGGGCATTGTGTCTCTCACTCAGGAGCGGGGTCCCCAGTACAGGAGGCGCATGCCAGACCTATTGTACATGTTTTTAGTGGTAGGAGAAACCGGAGCACCCAAAGGAAACCTACACAGACATGGGGAGAACATGCAAACTCCTCTCAGAAAGACCCTGTTCCGACTGGGATTCAAACCCAGGATCTTCTTGCTGAGAAGCAAGAGTGCTATCCACTCAGCCACTGTGCCCTATATTAGTACATGGTAAACTCTCTGTCCCTGCAGTGTCCTTGGAGATAACACTATAGCTGTCTTCTGGTCGAATATGCAATACTTCTTGTTTATCACTGGATACTGCTGGCTGTTGTTGAAGCCAAAGGGTCAGCTGATAAGACTTCTTCTAAGAACTTCTCGTTGCATGTGCAATTATTATGCAATACCTGCCTGTTTTGGTGAAACGCCTTGAGCTTCAAAATGTATGTGGAGGAATTACGGTAAACATGTTATGGTCACTTAACCTTTAACCAACTTTCCACCTGCGCAGTCACGGGACAGACTCACATGTTTTGTGTTGTGGTCAAATTCTTTCTCATCATGTAATGTGAGGCTAAGTATATCTTAGCCTGTTTGGACGCTTTTTTTCTTTTTTACGTTTGTGCACAAAATCTTCTAGTATTTTTTATGGAAAGTATTAAACAAAGTAATTAAAGACATATTTGTATTTTGTTTTCCCATGCCCCATCCACACCTTCCCAGCGACTGCACATATTACTATACATGTGGCACGGTGGCTGAGTGGATAGCACTCTCGCCTCTCAGCAAGAAGGTCCTGGGTCCGAATCCTGGTCGGACCAGGGCCTTTCTGAGTGGAGTTTGCATGTTCTCCCCGTGTCTGCGTAGGTTTCCTCCGGGTACTCCGGTTTCTCCTATCACTAAAAATATGTACAATAGGTCTGGCATGCGCCTCCTGTTCGACGACCCCTCTGTGTGGAGTGAGAGACAAATGCCCAAAAATAACAATTGTGAACCGCTTTGTGACTCTGGTCTGTGAAAGGCGGTATATAAATAAACATTACTTACTTACTTACTATAGTCATATATCTCTAAGAAAGTGTATCAAGGGTTGCCTTTTTTTTTTTTTGTAAGTTTGTTTATGATTGTTGCAGTTGAATTATAGTAATATGCTCAACATCAACACTACAGGTATTAAGGAGGATATCTCCAACTTGTAGAAATCTAAATTGGTTTTAACATTCCATAAATATTTTTTTTAGATTAAGTGAATTTTGTGTATTGTAATTTTTCTAGTCTTTTCCTCATCGTTCTTCTCTTTTTGAATCACTGAAAACAAACCATTCAGATTTTGTGGAGTCCTGTATTCATTGATTCAGATTCTTATCTTTGTCTAGTTTCTCAAGACTTATTCCATCGCATACACTGTCGCTCCCTACAAATAATATATTTGGTGTCTATTAATCCCACTATACATGTACATCAAGAGCGTTCGTCTGATTTACCTGAATGTGTTTTTGTGTAGTGTCAAACAGAAATAACAAATAATTAGTATTATTTTCTAAATTCAACTGCTGGAAAGAACAGATGGACTTTAGAGTATTGTTCGATCACCCTCCAAAAATATTATTATTTCTTGATTTTTGTCATAGTATTAAGGATACATAAGACACAAGCACGTTCACCAGAAAGATCGACAATTAGGATACCAATAGTCTTCAATGATCCACCTGTAAGTAGAAAAATCCTCCTATAAACCTGATGAAACACTTTTTGTCGACAGAAAGAAATGTGCCCTCTTGCATTTGACCCACCCT